AACCCTAGTTGGCTCCTTCACATAATTAGAGATAATATATACCACATGGAACTATGAAGGGTAAATAATAAAAGAGACAATATGCTTGGTCATATATGTTAGATTCTTTCTTCTTGGTTCTTGTGGAGCCAAAGGTCTGATCTCTGGTGAGAATCAAACCTGTTCTACCCTTTTGGAAAAACAGGATTAGGAGTGGAGAGGATAGCAGGGAGCATCATCTCTCATGGGATGCTCCCTTCCAGTTCCTCTGAGCTGTTTATTTCCCCATTCCTCACTGACTTCCCGTCTCTGCCATTGTAGGCCTTCCATTGCTCTGGAAGATGTTCTTGAGTAAGATAATCTGGACTGGCCCCTGTGTTTGTTTCCCTGCCTGCTGCTGCCCATTTGATCAAGAGACCCTGGAAGTAGCACAGATTCAGAACCCAAGATTGTCTGCATTTAACCTTTCAACTGTAAATAAAGTTTTTTATGTGTGGGTTTGTTTGTTTGTTTTGGTATGTGTATTGTTTTTAAATGATTTTAATGATAGCCCTGGCTCCTAGCTTCAGCTAGGAGGACTGGCACTCCCCAGAGAACAGCTTGGCCCAGAGCCAAGCCCTCACTATGTATAGTTGATGCATCTGACTTACAAGCAGTTGTAGCAGGCTGCTCATAGGTTCAAGCTAATGGGCAAAGAAAGCAAAACCCCAGAGTCTTATGATACTATTTGTTCCAAAGATGTTCCCAGTAGTTTCAGTTTGGTTAGTTCTGAATGGAGCCTGTGGGAAAAGTGTCACTAACTTGGGATGTCTTGGGGATGGGAGGGAGACCATTTAGTAGAATATGTCTTGATCGTGATGAAGTGAGAATAATTTAGTCAAAAATCTTGGTTTCAATCTGTGGTCATTTATTTAAACAGTTGAGGTCTTGAGAGGTTCACTCCCCCTTTCAAAGCCTCAGTTTCCTCATTTGTAAAAGGGAATAATAATACCTATCTATTTGCCTCATAGCATTGTCGAAAGAGTTAAATAAGAGAATGGATATGAAGGTAATTTATAAATAGTAACATGCCTTGTAAAATGTTAGTTTTAAAAGGAAAGACCCCACTGAACGCATTGTTAGAAAAGGAAAGAAGAAAATTCGCTCATGTTCCTTTCAGGAGGCATTTTCTATGTTCTCCCATTGCAGATTACTTTCTCCTGTCCAGTGGCTGGCGATGCCTCACAACTACTGGCAGCAGCACGCTGCAGCAGCAGAGGTAGCAGACAGCTGAATTCTATGACAATAGGACTTGCTTAAAAGTGTCATTTCAGTGTATCAGAGACGAGGGAGATGGTGAGATATGCAAGGGCCCTATAGTGTAGATATTTGCAACTCTCTCTAGCCAGGTAAACAGGCTTCAGGGGACACATGTGAGAAAGGACTGTGATCTAGTAGAGGAGAGAACATTAAGTAACTAGACAGATTGGAATTATAAGGAGACAGGAAAGAGGATGAACAGCTGTGGTTCTGAGCTGATGTTCTTGTGATGGATTGTTCCTTCAGTTGAATCCGTTTGACCTGGCATCCAGCCTGTATTCTGTCAGTCTCTGACCTAGGCTGAAGCTGAAAATGAGTAAGATGTGGCCCGTGCTAATGACAGGAGACAGGCATAGATTCATTGCACGGTGGTATTAGAATATGAGCCCTTAATGAAGACAGAAAATTTTGTCAGTTTTTGTTTTAACTGCTGTGTCCCCAGCACCTAGGGGGACAGTAATAAATGCACAAAAAATACTTGTTGCATGAATGAGTGACAGAGGTGTTGTGGGAGCAGAGTAGAGAGACTAGGGGTGAGAGGAAGAGGCGACACTTGAGGTAAGTGTTGACAGATTGGTTGGGATTGGCCAGATCATCCGTAAGGGAGGGTTTTCTGAGAAGAGGGAACTATGTTCTTAGGCCAGACTCTGTTAGAGATGGGGACAAGATGAGTTATTTCACAAAGGAGATGCTTGGGAATCTCCTTGCCCCTTACATCATTGGAGTTGTCTGTACTGTGGTTACCATGGAGGGCTGGGTGGTGCAAGCTCCCAGGTCAGCATGAGACTAGCAGAACTCTGGAGTGGAGAGCTCCCACTTTTGAACCGTAGATGAGATTCAACATGTGCTTCAGGGCCAGTCTCTGCAGTGGTAGAGATGTGGCTACAAGAAAAGTAGTTTCCTTTTTAAATAGCTCATCTTCATGCTCATTGAGCATGAAGACAGCTGAATGAAGTGATGGAATGAATAAGTAATGATACTTTTTAAAGTAACATTTTAAAGACAAATGTTGCAGAATCTGTATTTCTGCTTGAGAAGCCTTCTCTTCAAAGCAGTGAGGAGGTTGCTCACTTATCCTTAGGGCACTGCTGCAATTTCTAAGTGTCTTTGTAACCCAGCTTTGGGACAAAAAGCTCTCAAGCCTATAGGGCATGCTTTTAAATGTCCTCAATTTTGGCAGAGCTGTAAAGATTTCCCTTTTAACAGTCAAAAGTCATCTGGTGCTGGAACAGCAGCTCTTGGAATCCACCTACTCTCCATGCACATTGCTGCTGAAGTCTTTTTTATGTGGATTACTGGCACAACTGCCCAGATGACCTTTCTGCTTCCAGTACCACCTTCTGCAATTCATTTTCTACACCACGCTATTCATTTAACAAATGCTTTAAGGTATTATGGCTAGATGCTCAAGGAACTTGCAGTCTGGTGGGGAAGATTTAATAAGAGCAATACAGTGTCTTAGTATGGCAGGGACTCTTAACCTAGTAACATCTGAGCCAGGACCTAAAGGATAAAGAATTATGCAGGCACAGGGGAAAAAGAGAAAAAGTGTTACCAGTTGAGAGGATAGTATGAGATAGTTCAAAGGAAGCAATGGCTGAAAGAGCATCTGGGAGATTAGACAAGGAGTGTGAAAACAAGAGTAGAGAAGTAAGTTTAGAGAGGTCATACAGAGTCCAGTAAACCACATTAAAGAATCTGGACTATCCTAAGGGTAATGGTAGTCACTGGAAGATTTTAAGTAAGACAATGTTGTGATCAGATAGATGTTTTCAAAACTTTCTGGCGAGGCTAGGCATAGTGTCTCACACCTGTAATCCTAGCACTCTGGGAAGCCAAGGCGGAGGATCGCTTAAGGTCAGGAGTTCGAAACCAGCCTGAGCAAGAGTAAGACCCTGTCTCTACCAAAAATAGAAAGAAATTAATTGGCCAACTAAGAAATATATATAGAAAAAATTAGCCAGGCATGGTGGCACATGCCTGTAGTGCCAACTACTCGGGAGGCTGAGAGAGAAGTATTGCTTGAGCCCAGGAGTTTGAGGTTGCTGTGAGCTAGGCTGATGCCACGTCACTCTAGCCCAGGCAGCAGAGTGAGACTCTGTCTCAAAAAAAATAAAAATAAAAAAAATTCTGGCTATCTTGGTGGGGAATATTAGAGTAAGAAATAGGTAGAGAGTATGGTTCAGAGGCCACAGCAGTGCTCTAAGCCAGACTGCAGGTCAGCAAAACAACACTCCCTGTTTTTCTATGGCTTGTAAGCTAAGAACAAGAATGGTTTTTAAATGTTTAAATACTTGAAGCTATGTAAAGAATATTTCGTGGCATGTAAAAATTCTATGAAATGCATGTCAGTGTCAATACGATTTTTTGTAACAGGCACACTTAACAGCTTCTTTCAGGCTGTAAGTAGTAAGACAGAACCAAATGGCCTGCCAAATTTAAAATATTTACTACTTCACCCTTACAGAAAAAGTTTGCCCACCCTTGCTCAAGCAATAGATGATGATGGCCTAGAATAGTGGCAGGAATGAAGAGACTCTAGATGGACATTTAGAAAGTTTTTAGGACTCAGGAAGGACTTTAGGAGGTGGAATTGACGGTACCTATAGGGGTGAGGGACACCGCACAAACCTCCTAACTGGTTTCGCTACTTCCATTCCTTGCCCCTCTACAATCCATTCTCCGTTCAAATCTAAAATTGCCCTTCTAGGTCTTGCCCTTAGGATAAATTTCAAATTAAATATGTCTAATTGACCCTCCCTACCTCTACAATCCAATGCTTCATTCTAATCTTCCTGGACACTTCACTTGCATTTCCCCCGAGATCCCATCTCTTTTTGCCTGTATGCCTTTGCATAAACCTTTCAGTGTTTGGAAAGTTGTTAGCTTTTCACCATCTTCATATTCCACTCCCAAAATGCTTTGTGCTTTTGCAGCTCCGGAGTGAGTGTTGGCTGTTTACATTTCTGCTTCCATCAGAAGGCAGAAATTGACTATTCCATCACCAACCGATAGTAGACGTTTAATAAAGAGCAAACGAAGGTGGGTGGATTTTAGAAACATCAGGTGGCAGCCTCAATTTTATCGTTTGTGAAACGTGGATAGTAATCCCTATTTAACATGGATGTTGTAGGGATAAAATGCGGGGGAGAAATGTCTACCTTGCTCAATACACGTGATTTGCTATTATGCCTGATTTGTGGCCAATACAAAAAGACGCGAATACTTAAGGAAGACACATTTCTTAGATGCCTGGTGAAACGGATCGGAAGGCAGGTCCCCACAGAGCACATCCCCGCCCCAAATGTACTGGGCCCAGCGGCCTGAGCGTTTGTGTGGTCCCTCCAGGGTGACTACTCTGCCAAAAGCATAAGCTCTTCCAACGCTTACGTTTAAGCCAATTGCAGAAATCTTGCTGTGCTGCGAGTACATGTTCGTTAAAGAAAAGACGACTGTACGCCCGTGGTAATGATCTGAGATCACAAGGACCGTGCGTGGAACAGGGGAGGAGGCTTTCTCTCCACGAGGGGCTAAGACGGTGCCCGGCCCCCTTCTAAACCCCGGTCAGACCAGGAAATCCCTGCCCAGCGTTTAGTCGTGCCTTTCCTTCAGCAGGGACACAACCCTGAACCTGAAGCCCGCCCGAGCAGCGGCCTCGTGAAAGTCACGTTCGCTCTGCTCGTCCTCTCGGGTACTCTATGGTTCTCGTGGTAACTACTCTAATTCTAGTTCCGGTCTCTATGGCGGCGGCGGAGGCAGGAACGGTTGTAGGTCGGCTGAATTAGCCGCCTAAGGGCCAATGAGACTGGAGGAGTGATAAAGTATTAACCAATATAGGCCAGGAATTGGGGTCAGGTGGTGAGATTGACAGCAAGGCTGGCCAGTCAACAATGCCGAGGGCGGGTCGATCATCGGGCTTATCCCGCCTGTCCCGCCATTCTCGCTAGTTCGATCGGTAGCGGGAGCGGAGAGCGGACCCCAGAGTGCCCTGTGCAGCCCCACCGCCGCCGCCGGCCTAGTTACCATCACACATCGGGAGGAGCCGCAGCTGCCGCAGCCGGCCCCAGTCACCATCACCGCAACTATGAGCAGCGAGGCCGAGACCCAGCAGCCGCCCGCCGCCCCCCCCGCCGCCCCCGCCCTCAGCGCTGCCGACACCAAGCCCGGCACCACGGGCAGCGGCGCAGGGAGCGGTGGCCCGGGCGGCATTACATCGGCGGCGCCTGCCGGCGGGGACAAGAAGGTCATCGGTGAGGGCCGGGCAGTGCCGGGGGTGGGGCCGTATGGAAGCCTGGCAGCGGAACCGTTAGCCCGAGCGGGGCGAGCCGGCGGGCGCGCGGCCGGCGGGCACCGACTCCACGGCGCGGCTGCCCTTCCCCCCGGCCCCCCCACTCGCCTTCGCGGGGGCCCGCCCGCCCAGCAGGCGCGCGCTCGCCACCTCCCGCGCCCCCTGTGGACCCCGCGGGCCCGCGCGCCCCTCCCCCTGCGGCCGCGCGCCGCCGACCGCGTGTGCGGCAGGGTCCCCTCCCCGCCGGCCGGCCTCGTGCGCTCGGGCCCGCACGCCGTTGTTCCCGGCTCCCCCACCCAGCTCCCTTCCGCGTGTGCCCCGAGGGCGCGGCGCGCCGCCTACGCAGGCCGGAGTGGGCCGGGGCGGCTTCCCCTTCCCTCACGTGCTCTCCGCCCGCAGCCTGCGCACACACCCATCTTGGTCCCGCGCCCCGGGCCTGCCCTGGGGCGCCCCGCGGCTTCGAATTCACCCACGTGTACGGGGAGGGCGTCGTAGTGGCCCCGGCGCGGCCCGGCAGACGGGCTTTGGAGAGAAAAGGCTGTCAGGTGGCTGCGGCCGGCAGCGTGCGAGGGACCGGATGCAGAAGCCGGGCTGTTTTAAAAGGGATGTCTGGTAATCGTGGGTTGTTTTGCTTTGTTTTCCAGCAACGAAGGTTTTGGGGACAGTAAAATGGTTCAATGTAAGAAACGGATATGGTTTCATCAACAGGTGAGCTGCCCGGCTCTGAAGCCTTCATCCCCCATTTTCTCACGTTTGCCGCTCTGGGGCTTTGCGGGGCTTGGGATTGTTTCGGGCAGTGTGTAGGTACGCTGCCGTGTTCGAGGGCGGTTGCTACTCTAGTTGTATTGGTGTGATTTTGTTTCCTTTGGAGGAATTACTGGGACTAGAGGTTGTCTTTGTTTTCCAGCTAAGTATTCATTTGAAGCTAATTTCAAAGGCTTAGTTATGGTACAAAGTAATTTAAAAGGCAAGCGGAGTGAATGAACCATACTTTAATGTTATGACAAGCTGGGGAAACTACAGTCCAGTGCGTTTTCATTCTTGTCATGCTTTTATACTTTATTGGGTCTGCTGATTAACATAGGCTATTTACACATGTTGACCTTTTGGGGGTAACATGATTTGACATGTCAAGTATGTGAGCTTTTGTCATATTAATCTTAAATATTGCCTTTGTTTAACGTTTCAAATATACTGTCTTAATACGTCGGATATATTTCATATTGACCAGAGAGCTGTTATCATTTGCTTATAGAGAAAATGATATATCTGAAAAAACGGTGGTCCTTTCCCTTCCTCAGTATTCTCCCACTTCCTCGTCCCCAAATCATACTGGTTAAATCAATTTTATTAAAGCCCTGGCTATAGTTTATAAGAGTGGCCATAGCCCCAGGAAATTTAACATTGTTCCTCTTATTTGAAGGTAAAGCTACAAACAGCATCTTTAGGAATTATTCATTAAATTGTTCAATAGTGGTGATAACGTGCAGTGTACTCACTGTACTCTCCATGGGTTCCCTTGTGAGCCAGGCATCATTTTCAAGATGGCTGCCAAGGCTAGTAGTACAGTTACATGGGTGTAGAGCACGGCTTACGCATGCCAATAGCAATCTTGCCCTTACAGGTAGAATACTTGGTACAATTTGAGCATTTTTCTCTTCTAAGTCTTTTCTTTTGGAGATGTTAAACAGGTGATTAAAAGAGAACACTTAATACTTGTGAAATGGACAACAAATGGGTGAGATGAAGCTTAAAGACAGACATAATTGACTGATAAAAGAACCATTCATTGATCAGCTGTACAGTATTGTGGAAACATGCAAAGCCAGAGATTTATAGGCATTTGATGATCTGTTCTCATTTGCAATTGTAGGGAAACATTTTGTTTCTTTCAAAAATCCTTAGGATTTTCCAGTTGTCTGTTTGCCTTCCTTATAGGCCAGAGCTACATTTCTGATCAATGTTTTTGATGGTGGGTTACTAGTGAGGAAGGAAGGGTATGGTTTGGTGCCTGTATATGATTGGTTTACTGGGAGCTTTTTAAGTTATCTGAATTAGTGATTTAGTTTAGTTAATATTTCCATCTTAGTTCTGATTCTTAAACCAATAGCTTTCAAATTGAAGTGTGCTTACTGTGGAAGAATGTTGCAAATGGCAAGCTCTTTAGTTCCTCCTACAAAGCTTTGAATTTGTTAGGTCTCAGTACATTTTTAACAAGAATTTCCGCTTCATGGTTTGGGTCAAACCTTCAAAATCATTGCTTTTAATCCTTGACCCACTGTAATAAGGCAACTCTATACATATGAGAGGCGACTGTAGCTTGAAGCTTCTTCAGTGGATAGAGTGGTTTGTATTTAAGAAATTTTAGCATGTACTTTGCTATACTGTATTTTGTTAAGTGGACATTAGGTTATAACATTTTTTGAAGTGAGTTTTATGGTGATAAAAAGTAATTCTTTATATTTTATAAGTATTCCATGAGATGCCATTTGTTGAATATCTGTCTTCTGACTTGGACTCAGTTGGTCATCCTCCAGGGCAAGTTAAATGTAAATTGGCTTTTGATCATCCTTGTTTGGACTATCCTAACCTCTATTTAGTCAAATTAACTGGTTAAGTGTGCTTTATGTCTCTAAACTGGTCACTTTAATGATTGTGACTTTTTAATAAGATACTGTAAAAATCTGACTCCAATTAAATCAGGGGAGGTTTGCCTTAATCAAGGAAAATGTAGGGCTTAAATGCAGCTTGGAAGCTAGCAGTGGGTTGCATATATACTTCCTGTAGTAGAACAGATAAGATAACATAAAAGGCTGGGGGCACTTGGCTCTCCTGAGGGATAGAGGGAGACGGGAGGTAACATGCCCTACCCTGCTTCTGTATAAAGGGTAGAGTGCAGGATTTGAGATGACTGCTGTAACTCTTAGTTCTAGGCACTTAAGATATTTTTACAATTAAAATTGGGGGTATTTTATGTAAATTTTCTGCCTTTAAAGACATTTTAATTGTAAACATTTATTCCAGCCTAAATTACACCACCTATGTGAATTGTTACAGCCTTGTTAAAATTATTTCTTTAAAGGGTTTCCCCAGATGATTATATTGTGTTCGAGAAACTAAGAAGCACAAAGCTTTAAAATAGCAAAATTTTTTTTGCTTTATTTTGTTAGACTATGTGATCTAGAAATTGTGAGAAACTCATTGAGTTATTCCTTTGCATGCTGTGTCCGTAAAAAAGATAATTGGACTATGTGACTAGAGGGGTTTATTAGTCCCCCCCATTAATATTTGATTTTATTAGCTGTTAAGGATTAATCCATAGTTACTAAACCCATGAGAGATAACCATGAATCGCTTGGCAATGATTTATTTTTTTCAATGGGACATGCACGCATCTTTTATAATGACCAGAATAAGAACATTTTTGTATTCTGACTTAAAAGCCTAAATTAATCATTCTGAAGTTTTGAGGTGAGCAAGGAATTGGGAGCAAAGGGAATAAATAGAGGTCATAAACTTGTGAACTACTGGCTAAATCCTACCCCAAGATGTTTTGACTGGACGGTACAGTGTCTTTAAAAGAATTGGAATTAATTACTAGCATTAAAGATTTAAGAGATAACACCAAAAATAATTTAGATTGTCATATTTTTAAGATCTGAACTTTAGCTAGTTTGAGGGGTCTGTGTTTCCACATAAATAAAAACCAGCTGGCCCTGTGAATTATCACTACCTTTATTTTATTTATTTATTTTTTTTGATGGCAATTTGGGTTGATAATCACTACCTTTATTTTTTTTTATTTTTTTTTATTTTTTTTTTATTAGATGTCAAGACCCTTGGAATAATCACTACCTTTAGATGTGCATACATTTCTTTTTTTCTTCTTTTTAACCACAGTCTGTCACACTTAGTTGTGTTATCTTGATGACTGCCCTTCCCACCTGGCCTTGTGTATGCATTTAAGTTTATTACCCAGGGTCTAGAAAGATGTAATAAACCAAGCCAGGGAAAGCCTTAGCTATTTCCTCTTTAGAAACATACTTAGTCATGCCTGTCAAGTTTAGTTTCCATTGGGGGGGGGGGCTCCCTGTGGGGATTCCATACCTATATATAACTAATGGGTGATTCCTTCACACATTGATAATAGAAGTACCTAGCACGTATTTATACCAAGATCTGTTGTCACTGCTTAAATGAACTAATTCGTTTAATCCTTAGAAAACCTTTAAAGAATCCATATTGTTACTCTGAGGTACGAATATGTTGTTTACTTGCCTAGTAAGCATAGCTAGTAAGTGGCAGAGTTGGGATTTGAACCCAAGTTTTCTGATTCTGGCATTTGTGTTCCCCCTCTGTTATGCTATCTCTGAAATAGACCTAGTCATCTTCAAATTGGTTGTTGTCCACATAGTTATAGATGATTTTTTAGGATGGCTATTCTTAGTCATTAGTCATTGAGAGGCTTTTCTTATATGGTTTCTAGCATGTCTCTGGCGCTTCTCTGTGCTGACTGCTAGTTATGCAGATGTGAAAAGCTTTCTACTTTTTACATTCTATGAAGTTTAGGATTGCTGAAAGTTCTGGTTTTTAGCATGCAGGTCAGCTTTACAAATTAAAAGACTTGCTCATTGGACTTTATCTCACTTTATTTTTTAAAAAATTCTTTAATTATTTTATTTTATTTTTACTTTTTTATTTCTTTATATTTCTTTTTGAGTCCAGGAAGAGTATATATCTAGGCCAGGTGGAGTGGCTCTCGCTGGTAATCCTAACACTCTGGGAGGCCGAGGAGGGCGGATTGCTCAAGGTCAGGAGTTCAAAATCAGCCTGAGCAAGAGCGAGACCCTGTCTCTACTATAAATAGAAATTAATTGGCCAACTAATATATTTTATATATATATATATATACATATATATATATATAAATTAGTCGGGCGTGGTGGCGCATGCCTGTAGTCCCAGCTATTCGGGAGGCTGAGGCAACAGGATTGCTTGAGCCCAGGAGTTTTGAGGTTGCTGTGAGCTAGGCTGACGCCATGGCACTCACTCTAGCCTGGGCAGCAAAGCCAGACTCTGTCTCAAAAAAGAGTGTATATCTCACTTTAGAATCTTTTTTATTTTGTTTATATGTGGCCTGCAGGATAAGAATGGGTATTACCTTTTTAAACCATTGTTTAGGATTGGGGGGGAAGCATAGGCAGCAGAATATGTGACCACACAAATTCTAAAATAATGTGATTCTTTTAAGAGACAGGGTCTTGCTCTGTGTTGCCCAGGCTGGTGTGCAGTGGCAGGATCATTAGCTCACTGCAACTTCAACCTCCTGGGCTCAAGTGATCCTCTTGCCTCAACCTCCTGAGTAGCTTGGACAACTGACATGCACCACCACATCCAGCTAATTTTTCTGTTTTTAGTTGTCAGGGTCTCACTCTTGCCCAAGCTGATCTTCAACTCCTGGCCTCAAGCAGTCCTCCCACCTCAGCCTCCCAACCTCTCAAAGTGCTAGGATTACACTTCGCCAGCCACTGTGCATGGCCTAGATTTTACTTTTTTTTTTTTTTAGGGTTATTGAGTAGGGGAAGGAGGGATATTCAACAGACCTTTTATTGGCCCACAAAGTCTTAAATATTTACTGTTTGCTCCCTTGCCAGAAGTGTTTGCAGAGTCCTAGTCTAATTGCATATAATAATTTTGAGTACTGCAGGGGAGTAAGGATGCTTGTTACTTCTTGCCCCTCTCCTAAAATAGGAGAAACCATATGCTCTAGTCTCTCTCTCTAAAGCTAAAATGTACACATTTCAAAGACCAGGACCTATAGAATCAAAGTCTACCACTTTAAGCAAAGTACTATTGTATTTCAGTTCCCTAATTTGTGGAATGTGGGGTTGGATAATGTATTTGAAGCAGTTAGCATAATAGACCTAGTGATGGGCATGGCTACGCAGCTTATCTGCACAACCCATGCATTTCGTCTTGGAGCGGTAAAGAAGATGAGTAGCCCTTCTCATATGCCCCATCGTGACAGTTACTATCCCAGAGGTGACTGGAAAGGTACCAGCAGCCCCACCAATAAGGTCTCCCCCCCCCATCAGGTCCCGGCCATCATTCTGTGAGTGCTGCAAGCTGAGGCTTTGAGGGGAAAGTCTCCTCAGTGAAGTGAGGAGTGGGACACTCACTTTAGCTATTATGTGTCCCCAGGGGGAAGAAGAAAATCTGTGGCTGCCATTTTACTTTTACTATATTTGAGTAAATGTAGATTGTTGTACTTAAAAAAATAACACATCCCCTGAAAATAAGCCCTAGAGTGTCTTCTTGAGGAAAAATAAAAGACCTTGTCTCATTTTTTGGAAAACACGGTAATGTAAGCTGTTATATGTCTAATCTTTTTGCAGGTGATGAAAAAGATGAGGCAGCTTTCCTGTGTTCCATAGCTGTTAATAGTAGAATCAAGACTAAAAAATCAGGTGGCCTGTTAGTGGTGCCTTGAATTTCTGGGTAGTCCTTTAACAAGTTGCAATTAGATTGATTTAATGTGCCCAAAACATAGTATTCTGTCTTGGTGGAAACTGCATTTTTTTGAGCTGTCAAGTTTCCTCCTGAAATCCAGATGCACTTTGGTCATGGTAACTCTATATTGGGCTGGTTTAGTGTCAACAAAATGAGTACTTTGTTGTCTGGCATGACATCAGTGAGCCTGTGTTGGTCTCCATATATCTGTGTACCCACAAAATATCTCCTTAAGCTGTTTTTGAGGCATTGACGTTACCTTTTGTGTGTATTGCCAACCCTGTACTACTTTTTTAAAAGATTGTTCTGACCAGATAAATTGTTTTGGTAAATTTTCTAATATTCCTTTTACAACCCTAAAGAAAATGCATATTAATACAGTACAAAAATACTACATTCAAAACTCAAATAGTAAACAAGTTTACTTATCTAGCAAGTCCTCGCCTCCATTAATACAAATAGTACTCTCCATCTTTGGAACAACTTTAAATGCCCTATACTCCTGTTGAAAATCACTATTATATCTAATTAATGATGGCTGTAATTTATTTCTGTGGTGCCTATGAAACTATGGACAGATGGGTTAATATTCATCTAGCTCGAAAGATGAGTTTTCATTCAGCTGCTTTTGAGTAGCTTTTGCAAGGTTCTGTTTTAAAATTCAAAATCCAGGCTGGCACAGTGGCTCACAACTGTAATCCTAACACATTGAGGAGCTGAGGTGGGAGGATTGCTTGAGGCCATGCATTCGAGGCCAGTGTGAGCAACATAGCAACACCCCATCTCTACAAAAAACAGAGAAATTAGCAGGGCATGGTGATGCATGCACATAGTCCCAGCTATGAAGGAGGCTGAGGCAGGAGGATCACTTGAGGCCAGGAGTTTGAAGTTGCAATGAACTATAAAAGATGCCACTGCATTCTAACCCAGGCAGCAAAGCAACCCTGTCTCTAGCATAAAAGATTTAAAATTATCCTGTTCACAAAAATTAAATAGTCCAAGTTATAACTTTTAAGTCAGAATTAAAGTTAATTTTGTGAGGTTCCTTTAGTGTGTACATTGTTCCATAGATCAGCAAGAAGCTCATATAGTAAGCCCATCAGTCTAGTTCATTGTCAGGCAAGACACTAAAAGGCCTAGAAGTGTTTCTCCTGGTATCATCTCCTTAATCTCAGTCTTCAAGCTAAAAAAAAAAAAAGCCTCAGATGATTCTCCTCACTTTTAAGGTGCAGTTATATGCACAAGTTTTTGCCATTATGCCTCAAGAAGGACACCTCAAATATCTCCCGTCATACATGTCCCCTTAATCCAGGCCATCATCATTTCTGGTCTTGCCTTCTGGAGTACCTTTTATAACTGCCTAGGCTTCTCTCACATTCAAATTTACATTATTGCCCAATGTCCATAGTTTACATTAGGGTTCACTTTGTGCTTCATATTCTAAGGGAGTTTTGTTAATAACCTTAAGGAAAGTTGGGAATTGGAAATGGCGAAGAGGAAATGGTTAAGAGTGAAAAGAGAAAGTAATTCCTACCTGTTGGTAACCATGTTCTCTCTAGAGGGCAAGAGTGGGGTGTGCCGCAACATTGTTAATGTTTAATAGGAGTAGCAGAATATATATCACTAGTCACTACTACTGCCCTCTTAATTATGGCTCAATAGGCGCACTTTCTTAGTTTTTAGTCTTTAAAGGAGAGATCATGGTAGCTTGTTTTGTGTGTTTATTTTCCAGATTTCCTAGTAGCTAGTCAGCAATCAAAGTCTGGGGAAAAGATGTGCCAGCGATCAGGCGTATTCTTAATCTTCGGCAACATGAAATGTGTTCCATTTTCTAACTTGTTCAACCTGGTTCTGTCTTGCAGGAATGACACCAAGGAAGATGTATTTGTACACCAGGTGAGTGCTTATGTAGATATTTGAGCTTCTGACTCAAGATTTGTGAGAAGAAAGGGGTGTGTCTTTTCAACTATTGTTCCTTACAAAAGGTTATTAAGTCCAACCACTAGTTAATTTAGTTCTTACAGTAAGAGTAGTAGCATACTTGAAGTGTATACATTGAAACATACATTGTACTGGATTTCAGTTAAAAAGAAAATAGCTGTTTCAAATTGGTATTTTCTTAATAGCTATAGCTTTGTAAAATGTTGAATTTGTTTACTCATTTCACTAAATTTTCTTGCCTAATTTCAGATAAACAAATAACCTCTATGATTCTGTACTTGAACTGATGCTGCATAAATACTAACTTTGGCAATAAGTTTTCAGATGCTGTTAGGGCTACCTGTAGGGACAAATCACCATAATCGTGGGAAATCGGACAGAGCCGTAAAACAGTAATTGAAGTGGAGACTAGAGAACTAGCAAAAGAGTGTATCAGTCTTGCTATTCTAAAGCACTTTGAATGGATAGTGGTTCACCCCCTCATCCCCCCCAAACCTTAGAAGAGTTTTGGCTGGCTTGAAATATGAAAAAAATCCTCACAAGTTTAAGGTTAAATGAAAGGTAGTGAGTGCAGCAAAGTTGATAATTACTCATGAGATAATTTTTAGATTGCCTTCCAGTGTTTTGGGAGGAGAAAACTATAACATAGGGTTAAGTGCTACATGCTGAACTTTCTCTTCAAGTGTCATTTAAGGGCAGTGTTTTGCAAATGCATGGATGATAAGGAATTAAGATTGCTAAAGCAAGCCACTGCCAAGTGAACATAATATAAGCTCCATTGGACTTACTCAGCCTCAAAGGGATGAAATGAGTAGGAAAAACACATTTGTATGTATGTACAATTTTTTTTTAAATAAGACAAAAATACTATCAACTTGTATTAAATTATGTTAAGAACTTTTTAACCACATTTTTAATACTACAATCAAGAAATCAAAAGACCTAAAGACAATTTCCATACTCACCTGTTTATTCAAGCATATGAGCTTGGATGACAGCATGCTTCTTAGGAAGGTCTGTCTGAGGTTGGTGCTTTGTAGCTCTCTGAAGTGTCCTATTCAGCATTCAGTGACAATCAAGGGGGAAGCCAGATCAATTTCTAATACATCCAAAACCCTATCAGATAATCCCAGGGTCAAATGTAAATGTAAAAACATTTAAATTCTCAATGTAAACAAATACAAGACTACTAAGATAAAATGTTATTTTAAAGCAAATGTTTGCTATATAAAGTTGGTATTCTTGTTTGGGTAAAGACAATTCACTTGTTCCTTACTTTCCTTCTCATGTTTGAAAGAATATGTAGACATAGGAACAAGAGACAGCAAGGCTTGTCTTGCTGCCTGTTGGCAACCTTCAAGGGTGGTGGGGAGTGAGTGGGTTAGAGGTGTTAACTGAAATAAGAGTTTTGGGTTGTTAATTATCCATACTTATGCTATCCCCTATGACTGCAGGTAATTGATAGTTGGCTATATATGAAAGGTATGAAAACTATGTGACAGTTTAGATGACAGATGAGATCATTTATTTGACTCACCCAGTTGTACTGATTCACAAGGTGTCACCAATATGCTTTCCTCTTTATTTTGGAAGTGGTTTCAACAAGTAGTTGTTTCTTGGGACTTTGGCTGCTCAGGTCTTAGTGGTGTATGTATCAAAGAGACTGCAGTTCTGGGCAACTTAGCTTATTTGGCCTCAGATTTGTTGGTTTCCCTGCCTCTGGAATGGAAATGCATGAATGACCCTGTAACAGATATTGCTGTGATGTGGAATGAACATGGGATTAGGAGTCCCAAGACCTAGGTTTAGAAAAAGTCCCTGCTGTGCTACTTATTATCTGTGTGACTTTTCAGCAAGTCACATAATTTTTTTAAAAGCCTGTATCTTTAAATAAGGAGTAATATACCTCATATCTTTTACCATAAGGAGATTGAGTAGGTAATATGTGAAAGAACTTTGTAAGTATTACATAAAAATGTGAGGTGTTACTCTTCCCCTTTTACTCTGCCCTCAACAGTCTGGAGAAGTAGAAGTAACAGATCTCTAAGATTTATTGTATTTCTGGGGCGGTAATAACCAAAAGTCCCGTGCAATCAGATAATTTAAAGGATGACATAGTTAATATATGTGAATTGCAATTCCATTGAAGTATTATCACAGAACGGAAGGGATTTTGGTTGACATTTGTAATTGAGTTTGATATGGTAACAGGGACAAAGTTGGTTTGGTCAACTTTGAAGCATGTAAACCAAACTCGCCTGTCATCTAAACTGGCCCTGTGTGGGGCTAGCTTCTACTATTAAGTGCAGTCTTTGGGGGATAGGTGGATATCCTCATTTTGTTCAAAGCCATATATGATGCTTTTGCAAAAAGCATTTTAAAAAATACATTGTTGTGTCTGCCTTAGGTGTTAAATTACATGTTTTAATTTTGTACATAGCAGTAAAATGCTGGGGCCTTGTAATATTGGAGTATTTTGGTTGAGGATGGGGTAGCATGGTCCCTGCATTCATAGATTTATTGACAGTTTGGTCTTATTTAAAGTAAATCTTGAGATTTAAGTGTATATCCAAGCTAAAATAATATTGACTCTGGTACATTTTAAATGCAAAAGCACATTATTCTCCCCTGTTAATCTATTTTTGGAATGTGATATTACTAGACTGCCATAAAGAAGAATAACCCCAGGAAGTACCTTCGCAGTGTAGGAGATGGAGAGACTGTGGAGTTTGATGTTGTTGAAGGAGAAAAGGTGAGGATGCTTTTTGTGTAAAGGTTTGACTACGGTATGGAAATATTTTGGAGATCTCATCCGTTAGGATGGTGGCTCTAATGTGGATGGATGTGTTCAGGTGACCACATGAACACTGGTGCATCAAGCCTAATGTGTTGGCTGCAGTTAGAGAGCAATCTCTTCAGAACAGTGAGGAGGTGATACTTAGTCATTCCTATGCACCCCTGGCTACGCAGACCTCCCCTGCCCCCACTTTTTTTCTTTTTCTTGTCTTTTTTTTTTTTCCTGTGGCATTGTGTGAAATTTGTGGAATGTGTTCTGGTTTCCTTTGTCACTGTCAATATATAATGGCTTTTGTAGGGTGCGGAGGCAGCAAATGTTACAGGCCCTGGTGGAATTCCAGTTCAAGGCAGTAAATATGCAGCAGACCGTAACCATTATAGACGCTATCCACGTCGCAGGGGTCCTCCACGCAATTACCAGCAAAATTACCAGAACAGTGAGAGTGGGGAAAAGAATGAGGGATCGGAGAGTGCTCCTGAAGGCCAGGCCCAACAACGCCGGCCCTACCGCAGGCGAAGGTTCCCACCTTACTACATGCGGAGACCCTATGGGCGTCGACCACAGTATTCCAACCCTCCTGTACAGGGAGAAGTGATGGAGGTAAGTTTCACCAAAAGGAAAAGGATCAATAATAGCTGATAACTTTTCATAGGACTATATTTTTAAACCATTTTCTGGAGTTCTTCCCCTATAGTGAAGCTTCTTACTAAAATCATGGAAGACACCTTGATTCTTAATAAGAACTAACAAAAGGATCAATAATTTATAGTGTAGTCATAATTACTAGATGATTGGACTTTTGTGGGGGATTTTGTTGTGGTTTTTTATTTAACTCTAGTATTCAGACTTTTTATTTGTCCATTTGAGTTTTTATTATGTTAATGATCCAGTAAGCTTGATTTCCATTGTCTTTTCAGGGTGCTGACAACCAGGGTGCAGGAGAACAAGGTAGACCACCAGTAAGACAGAATATGTATCGGGGTTATAGACCACGATTCCGCAGGTATGGACCATAGTAACCTGTTTCTATTAAAAGTTCCTCAAACATATGTTAGGACTCAACAGCATCATGCTTCTCCTGCAGTTTTTGAGCCATTTATCTTTCAATACTTTCTTCATCACATACCTAAGAGTTGAACCTGAAGTCAGTTGTCTTTGAGAATGTGTTTTTTGTATCTTTGGCTTTGTTTAAAACAGCTCATAATAGACGAGGTCTACTTTATGTATTCCTTTGTAATGAGGGTATGGAATTTCAAAATTTCTGTCCATAAACAGGTAAGAGAATAGTTTAAACCACGTATCTTTTAAACTTTTCCTTGGGAGAGAGAAAGGTAAAGATAATCTTTTATTAGGAGTATCTGAACCCCACCATGGCATAAGTAAAGAATCAATAGTAAGTTTTATCTCTGAGATGACATAATTTTCCATTATTACTTCTCAGTTTAGTTATGTACTTTTGGGGTTTTTTGGTCACCCTAAAGTTGCAGAATTAAATCATCACACCATTAAGAATTCTCTTTTTAGAAAGAGACCCAATCCCAAGATATAAAACAACTAATATGCCTATTAAGATAATTATTAGAGTAATTGAGAAAAGGCTCCATGAGCCAAGCATATTTTAGTGCCTTATGGGGTAGGTGCATTTGAGGCAATGTTCCTAGTACCACAGTGACAGGATAAAATGGTGTAACAGTTATTTCTTTAAGAGACTTAGATCAAAGCATTCAGTCTTTCCCTGTTATCCTTAAAGTTGACAGGTAGCACTCAAGAATCAAACCCATGTAGTAATACTTAACTGATGACCACTTACATATTACATAGCAAGCTTCATATGATTTTTTTTTTTTTTATACAGTCTCACTCCCTTGCCCAGGTGAGTGCCGTGGTGTCAGTCTAGCTCACAGCAACCTCAAACTCCTGGGCTCAAACGATCCTTCTGCCTCAGCCTCCCGAGTAGCTGGGACTGCAGGCACACAACACCAAGCCTGGCTAATATTTTCTATATATTTTTAGTTGGCCAATTAATTTTTTTCTATTTATAGTAGAGACAGGGTCTCACTCTTGCTCAGGCTGGTTGGTTTCGAACTCCTAACCTTGAGCAATCTGCCCGCCTCAGCCTCCCAGGGTGATAGGATTACAGGCGTGAGCCACTGTGTCTGGCCAATATGCCCAAATAATTTTTAAGGAACAAGTTTGTTGCTCAGAACCTCCAAAATAGATTGTGACTCTACAAGAAAGAGGGATCCTACATGCAGTTTTTATATAGTTTACCAAAGTTGGAGCAGTCATTGGAGCTATAAGAACTAGGGAACTTAGTTGAGTTCCCTATTTCTTATAGAATAATATAGATCAGTATATGTGTATTGAGAATTTTTTATATTGAGAACAGCCAGTGTCTTTGTAACTGTCCTCTCCTAAGTTTTTAATTTATTAAAAAAGCAGAGCTGAGGTTCTAGCTAATACACTGCAATTAAAGGTTTCTAACTCACCACCAGAGGATATTAGCCTGGTCCTGGATGTTGGAGGTTGATGGGTTCTTCCCTGACCAGTGGAGATTAGCTTTGCTGACAAATTTTTGGATTTTATTGACTTTGGACAGTGGCTCAGTCTGTTTTAAACCTAGACATAGATTATTTTTCTATTTTCTGTTTTTTTGAAATAGGGTCTTAACTCTGTCACCCAGGCTAGAGTATAGTGGCCCAGCCATAGCTCACTGTAGCCTTGAATGTGTGGGCTCAAGTGATCCTCCTGCCTCCACCTCCCAAGTAGCTGTGACTAGAGGCATAAGCCCTTGCACCTAGCCCACAATACCATTTTTTAAAAAAGGCTCTCATGGCAGTCTGTCCATTTAAGTCTGTGAGTACCAACAGCAGAATCTTTTGTCCACATGAATAGTGAATGAAGCATGCTACTCCTGATGCATGGCATTGTGGATGAAATCCTGGTTGTGGGTTTAAGAGCACATTGAAAGACATCTTAAGACAGGGATCACATCAGTAGGGAGTTTGCAGGAGTTTAGCTGAAAAGGAGACAGATGGTAGTAAGGGGAAACTGGGGTCAAAAGGATTTTTTTGCATATTTGTAGGCTAAAAAAATGTAATAGAAAAGGACAGTTGATGGCAGGAAAGTGACTTCTGGAAGTATCTTGATTCTTTAGCTGAGATGGAGTTTTGTCCACAGGTGGAGGTGTTGGCCTTTAGGAATGAGGGCACTTCCATGTGTAAGCATCCAGAGCAGGGGTCCTCAGACTTTTTAAACAGGAGGACAATTCACTGTCCCTCAGACTGTTGGAGGTCTGGACTATAGTTTAAGAAAAAAACTATGAACAAATTCCTATGTACACTTCAGAAATACCTTATTTTGAAGTAAAAACAAACGGGCAAAAACACCAGCATGTGTCCCACGGGCCATAGTTTGAGGATGCCTGATCCCCAGTATATGGACACAGATGTGTTAGTGGGACTTTGCCAGAAGTCTTTGGTTGCTCAGTTGAGTCAAAAGGAAAGGAAAAAGAGGGATGGAGGTGTTGTGAAGTTTGTGGCAAAGATGTGGAATTATCTCTAGAAGAGAAATAGACAAGGGAAATGTATAAGTAACGAGGTAACAATTAGAAATTTGAAGTGAGTTTACCTGGCTTACCTATTTTTCCAGCCATTTGAGCAGCAGGCTCAAGTTGAGCAGAGTTGGATTTGTGTGGCATTGGTTTATCCAAATGAAGACACTGGGGTAGGGATTGATCATATTGTTAATGATGGATTTTACACTTGGATAAAGAAGGGAGAAGAATGTTAGGAGGGAATGAGATTAATAGTTTGGTAGATCACTGGACTATTAGTCCCAGAAGAATAAGAAGGAATAATCTAGGAAAATAGGAAGAGGTGTACTTTAGAGTCATGTTTACAATTGAGAAAAACCCGGATAGAAAACAATGGACAGGAGGGCAACAATCTTAAAGCCTAGGTTTTTAGAAACTCTTACCTGGGATCTTGTAACTGCAACAGAAAAAAGATAGAAATAGGACAGACTCTAACATACAATTGAAAGTCTGCAGTTTTTAGAATAGCATGGCTATCATTGCCTTAGAAACCGCAGTTAGGACACTTGAGGACTAAAGAGAAGGAAGAGCCAGAGCAGTTTTGCTAAAGATTGACCACGAGTTCCAAAAGATGTGGGGAAAGAGAGTGTCAGGGGAAGAGGGAGATGAGATGGGAGATGGGTTGTGGCAGTTCTGAGGGATTTGGAGGTAAAAAATGGAATGTACAGAGATAAATGTGAATTAGAGCCCATGATGACCAAGAGATGTAGAAGGCCGGATGTTAATCTTTTATTATTTCAGCATATTATGGGGGTACAAATGTTAGGTTACATACATTGCCTTTGCCCCACCCCTGATTTTTTTTTTTTTTTTTTGAGACAGAGTCTCGCTTTGTTGCCCAGGCTAGAGTGAATGCCATGGCGTCAGCCTAGTTCACAGCAACCTCAAACTCCTGGGCTCAGACAATCCTGCTGCCTCAGCCTCCCGAGTGGCTGGGACTACAGGCATGCGCCACCATGCCCGGCTAATTTTTTCTATGTATATATTAGTTGGCCAATTAATTTCTTTCTGTTTATGGTAGAGACAGGGTCTTGCTCTTGCTCATGCTGGTTTCGAACTCCTGACCTTGAGCAATCTGCCCGCCTCGGCCTCCCAGAGTGCTAGGATTACCGGAGTGAGCCGCCGCGCCTGGCCACACCCCTGATATTAATCTTGTTCCTGGGCTTTCTGGGGTGCTATGATAACTGGAGGAAAGGCCAAGAATACATTATTATTCTGACAATTCTAAGCACCAGCAAGAAAAAAAGTCCTAGTATCTTGGTGATTAAAGTCTTGGTTATCTTTTAATCTCAGGCCATTCATTGGTAATAATATTTTGGTGGGATCTATCACTTAACTTTTTTAAAAAAAATGTGTATAATTCAGTGGCTTTTAGTATATTCACAAAGTTGTGCAACCACCACCACTCTGTAATTCCAGAATATTTTCATCAGCCCATCAAAGCTGTATTAGTCGTCACTCCCTGTTCCTCTCTACCACAGTCCTTGGCCACCATTAATCTTTGTGTCTTTATAAATTTACTTATTGTGGACATTTCATATAAAGGGAATCATACAATATATGGCTTTTTTGTGTCTGGCTTCTTTTCACTTTAGTACATGATGTTTTCAAGATTTTTCATGTCCTAACACATTAGAAGTACTTGGTTCCTTTTCATAGCCAAATTACATTCCATGGTATGGGTGTACAACATTTTGCTTATTCCTCAGTTGATGGACAGTTGGTTTGTTCACGCTTTTTGGCTATTGTGAATAATCACATAATATGTATTAAGTTTTTGTGAATAATGTCTTGGGTGTAGATCCAGGAATGGAATTGTTGGATCATGGTAACGATTTAACGTTTTAGGAATTACTAAACTGTTTTCCAAAGCAGCTGGGCCATTTTATATTTCCCCAGCAATGTTCCAGTTTTTCCACATCCTGGCCAACCCTGGTTATTTTCTGTCATATAACCATTCTAGTAGGAGTGAAGAGGTATATCATTGTGGTTTTAATTTGCATTTGCTTAATGATAAAATGATGGCTGTGTGCTTTTATTTGTATGGGGGCATCTTTACTTTGTTTTTGATTTTGGCCATTTTTAGCAAGTGTTCATCTGTGGTAAAGGTTAGTTAATATACTGTTCTCAAAGCTGGTTACCATTAAGCCCATTTTAAAATCTTAAGTTTCACTATTAGGTATTTTGTGATTACTTTTGTATTATGCTGTGGGCAGGAGTTTATTAGTTTGTTAAAACCAGTGTTAAGTACTCATTGTCCAGTTTATACTCCCATCTCCTTATATAAAATCATCCTACTATTTGTAAAATACGGACCAAGTTTTGTTTTTGCTAAATTGCCTGTAGAGCATTTGATGTGGAGAATGGCCAGATATGGTGATTTAGTTGAATGAACTGAATGTTAACACTGGATGTGTAGAACAAAAATGTTTTATCATTCTTCAGTTTACACAACGTTCATTCTAGGGGCCCTCCTCGCCAAAGACAGCCCAGAGAGGACGGCAATGAAGAGGATAAAGAGAATCAAGGAGATGAGACCCAAGGTCAGCAGCCGCCTCAACGTCGGTACCACCGCAACTTCAATTACCGACGCAGACGCCCAGAAAACCCTAAACCACAAGATGGCAAAGAGACAAAAGCAGCCGATCCACCAGCTGAGAATTCGTCCGCTCCCGAGGCTGAGCAGGGCGGGGCTGAGTAAATGCCGGCTTACCATCTCTACCATCGTCCGGGTAAGCATGCCGAGATGGCCTCCAGACCTTAGCCTAGAATTCCTGAGTGGTGGGTGTCTAATTTTATTCAAGGGGAGGGGTAGTTTATCAGTTAAAGAGTAAGACATTTTATTCAGTGTCTTCCACTCTAGTCTTAAAATTACCTGAATATTCAATTTTAGGAATGTTGACTATCAGAGCCATATTTGATCTCTCAGCCAATTCTCTGACACCTGGAGAATCATGAATATTAGAACTATTTGTCAGCTTTTCTGATTGAATTCTGTGATTTCACCAGTAAGCTGGGGGCAGCCTCCCTCTGAGAAGTATGTTAAAGTACCTGTAGGTTAATAGTTCTCTGGCAGATCAAATGATACATTTATGTTCCTGTTACTCGTAACTTATTATTTGCTCACTTACTTTTGTTGCCCATAAATTCTAAAAAATTAAGGGATTCCTTTGCATTCAGCTTTATACATGATACTGAGAGGCAAGTAATTGTCTCTAACTCTAGAATTGTTGCAGCTGGTGGTACTTTGGGAGGTTTTGTCCCCTTTATACTAGTTTCTGGGTGGCAAGCCAGAACCCACATGTAGCTAGCTATTCATGTCACAATGGTGTCCACTCCTGTTGTAAATCACTCTCTTAGGTGAGACCAATAGATTTGTTAATGTCTAGCTATACATGGTTAATGTGATCTGGAGCATGTGATATACTACATGAAGATTGCAATGGGTCCTGTGTGATAATTTTAATTTCTTTTTTTCTTTATAGTTTAGTCATCCAACAAGAAATGAATATGAAATTCCAGCAATAAGAAATGAAGAAAAGATTGGAACTGAAGACCTTAAGTGCTTGCTTTTTGCCCGTTGACCAGATAACTAGAACTATCTGCATTATCTATGCAGCATGGGGTTTTTATTATTTTTACCTAAAGATGTCTTTTTTGGTAATAACAAACGTGTTTTTTAAAAAAAGCCTGGTTTTTCTCTATGCCTTTAAAGGTTTTTAAATTGTTTCATATCTGGTCAAGTTGAGATTTTTAAGAACTTCATTTTTAATTTGTAATAAAAGTTCACAAACTTGATTTTTTGAAAAAAGTCAACAAACTGCAAGCACCTGTTAATAAAGGTCTTAAATAATTATCTTTGTGTATATTTCTGCCTACTTTTGTTTTAGTTTATTCTTAGGTGTTTAGGAGCCTTAGCTTAAATTAGTGTGCAAATAGGTGACACTGGTTATCCCTCAAAGGAAAATTTCCCGTAATCCTTTATTAAGTTGCATGCCTGTGGGTTCCTACTAAAACTTAGAAAATTATGTACTATAATACTCTCTATGTACTCTCGGGCCACTTTTCATTTAGTATAGGTTCCTTTTGCAGTAAGTCATTGTAAGAGAGGAGAACACATGTTCTAGAATAGACTGACAGGGATTCTAATCCTTGCTCCACTTAGTTCTATCACCTTGGGAGAATTATTTCACCCTGGCAAGTGAGGATGCAAACCTTAGAGTGTTGTAGAACCTTCCACAGATCCGTTTGCTTGGCAGACATTGGCTCAGATCCTTATGTGGTAGAGATGGTAACAGATAAGGAATGCCCGTGGGAAAGCAGCTCAATGGGGAGGCTGGTGAAATTGTGACTTTAGGATTTCCACACCTTGCAGCCTAAGCCTGGTCTGGCTCTTAATGTTTTGTTAGTTGTTCTTTGACCTGACTTGTGAAATAATCCAGTCATTTAGTTGAAAGTGGCTGTTGTCCAGAAACCAATTCTGGATCATCCTGAGCACACGGGAAACAAAACAATATAGGGGTGTGGTGTAGATGGAAGTGGCACCTCAAGAGTCCTGCAGCACTATGAAAGTCCAGGCAGTGGTACCTGTTTTAAAAGGCCTTACTTAAATTTAGGGCCAACTGTTTGCAATAGAACTTCATAAGAAACTTTTGAAAATCTTTTGTCCTGCATAGTATAAATATTCATCCTACAGAAGTATATTAATGTTAGCCCATTCCTTGCTGGTGCTTTATGAAAATACCCAGTGTTGGCAAGACTGTGACACTGCTGTTGATTTTTATTTTTTTGGTAGAGACAGAGTCTTGCAATGTTACTCAGGCTAGTCTTGAACTCCTGTACTCAAGTGATTTTCCTATCTCAGTCTCCTGAAATGCTGGGATTACAGGCAGGAGCCACCACCAAGCCTGACTAAACTGTTACTGGTTGCAGATATAGATGGTCCCTGAATTAAAATAGTTCGACTTATATTTGTGACTGTAAGATGGGGTTATGGCAGCAGTCCCCCGACCCTTTTGGCACCAGGGACTGGCTTCATGGAAGATAATCCTTCCACAGACAAGGGGTGGTTGTTGTGGTCCTGGGATGACCAAGCGCACCATGTTAACTGCAGTCAAACCTCTCTGCCAATGGCAATCTGCACTTGCAGCTGTTTCCCGTCACCAGCTCCACCCCAGGTCGTCAGGCACTGGGCTCTGACAAGGAGTGTACAACCTAGATCCCTTGCAGGCACAGTCCACAGTAGGGTCGTGCTCCTACCGTATTTCCCTGAAAATAAGACCTACCCATAAAATAAGCCCTAGCAGGATATCTAAACATTTGCGCAACTTAAGCCCTACCCAGAAAATAAGACCTAGTGAATGGCGTGGCTACGCAGCATATCTGCACAACCCATGCATTTTGTCACAAAGGAGCAGCCCTTCTCATCTGCCCCATGAGAGCTCTGTTGCTCGACATGAGAAATGGGGGTAATAGTTCTAAAGGAAATAGAGTTGCAAGAAATCGAGGATGGAATTTGGGGTTTGGAGAGTTATGATGTTCCAGAAGAAGACGACTTAACTATATTTGAATAAACATAGATTGTTGTACCGTACTTAAATGACATCTCCTGAAAATAAGCCCTACAGTGTCTTCTTGAGGAAAATTAAAAGACCCTGTCTTATGTTCGGGGAAACACGGTATAAGAGTCTAATGCCACTTGGTGTGACAGGAGGCAGAGGCCGCACAGTGATGTGAGCAATAGGGAGCAAAGGCAAACCCAGATAAAGCCTTGCTCCTCCCCTCCCCCAGCCCCTAGCAGGCCCGTGGACCAACACTGGTGCATGGCCTGGGGGTTGGGGACCGCCAGGTGAATGAACACTAGTGAATGAACATCACTTTCACACCATTGTATCATAGGAAAATAAAGCCATAGTCAGACTGGACTGTGCTGCCAGGATGAGTTGCATTTCAACTTGGTGACTTTTTTTTTTTTTTTTTTGGACAGAGTCTCGCTTGTTGCCCAGGCTATAGTGAGTGCCGTGTCGTCAGCCTAGCTCACAGCAACCTAAACTCCTGGCTCAAGTAATCCTCTGGCCTCAGCCTCCGAGTAGGCTGGGACTACCGGCATGTGCCACCATGCCCGGCTAATTTTATTGATATATATATTAGTTGGCAATTAATTTCTTTCTTTTATAGTAGAGACAGGGTCTCGCTCTTGCTCAGGCTGTTTCGAACTCTTGACCTCGAGCAATCGCCCGCTCGGCCTCCCAGAGTGCTGGATTACAGGCGTAACGTTGGGTGACTTTAACTGATGAGTTTTATTGGGACATATCCCAAGTTTTAATTGAGTATCGAGTATAGGGGACGACATGGAAATGGAAGCTGGATGATATTGTTCAATACCTACAAAAATGGATTTTGAAACACAATCAAGGGAAGAATTGCGGGCGGGGCCAGAGGCGGTCTTTGCCAGTGTGCAGAGAATACTGATAACATTTTGAAATGAGTATATATATCTTTCTTGTTTTCTGTGTTCTGTTTGCCCAGTTTTTGAGTACTTTACTCAATGGTTATTTTTAAGGATTGCGAATCTAGGTTTCTGTAAGCCTAGCCAGAGCAGTGTTTAAAGCCTGGTACACCAATCAAATTACACCACCATGAGACTTTGAGACCACCAGAATCATGTCTTGCTGTGGGGCTGAGGGTGTGGCATTGTCAGCTGTGCCTTGGTGTGGAACAGGCAGCATGGTTCTCAATCGCCAACTCTGCCTTTATCTTTTTTTTTTGAGACAGATCTCACTCTGTTGCCTAGCCTTAGAGTGCTGTGGTGTCCGCCAGCTCACAGCAACCTCAAACTCCTGGGTCAAGGTATTCTGCTGTCTCCTCCAGAGTGCTAGGTTAGCAGTCGGAGCATGGCGCCGCGCCCAATTTATTGTTGTAATTGGTAATGTATGTGTGGCTGTAATCAATTGCCACAAGTGATGTGTAGAAGTGTTGGTGTTGTGGAAAGCTATGACGATGGTGACCCAGAATTAAAATCTTTAAGACTGGCGGGCGCAGTGGGTCTCCACACCTGGTAATCGTTAGCTTCTGGAGGCTGGAGGCGGCAGATCGTCAAGGTCAGGAGTCTGAACAGCCTGAGCAAGAGCAGATCCCTCGTCTACTACAAAAATAAAATATATTTATTGGCAATAAATATATAGAAAAAATTTGCCAAGAATGGTGGCACATGCCTGTAGTCCCAGTACTTGGGAGGCTGAGGCAGAAAGGATCACTGCCCAGGATTTGAGGTTGGCTGTGAGCTAGGCTGACGCCACAGCACTCTAGCCCAGGCAACAGGTGAGACTGTCTCAAAAAAAAAAAAAAATCTTCAAGGATACTTCTGAGCTAGAATGTAGTCTAGCTGGGTGCAGGGCTCATACCTGTAATCCCAGCACTTTGGGAGGCCGAGCAGAAGGTCACCTGAACCCAAGAGTTCAAGACCAGCCTGGGCAACATAGCAAGACCCTGTGTTACAAAATATTTTAAAATTAGTGACATGCACCTGTAGTCCCAGCTACTCGGAGCTTAAGGTGGGAGGAGTTGAGGTTGCAGTGACCTGTGATCATGCTGTTGCACTCCACACCTGGGTGACAGAGTGAGACCCCAGTTCTAAAACAACAAACAAAATTTACTTCAAAGGTAGGCTTCAAAGAGGAGATTTTGAGGGCTTAGAAGAAATGGTTTAGAATTACAATGGTGTGGATGGAGAGACAGCCCAGCACCAGGCACCATGTGATTTGGGTATGGAGAAAAAAAAATCAGCCTCAGGAAAGAAGTATTCCTGGGGTGAGTGTGATTAGAGGTAGAGTAAGAAGCTGAACAGAACATTCAGAGAAGAGGCTGTGGCTGAGTTCAGAGGGCCCCGTGGAAGTGGTGGAGGAGCTGTACTGGCTCCTTTAGGAGCTTGAGACAGCTAAGGAGAATTCATAGGGGTGACAGCTGGCTGGGCCTTTGTAGAGACACATGTGCAAAAGCAGCGTGATGGCTCAGGTTTAGTCCTGAGGTTCCAGTGGAAGCGTCAGTGTCTGGCACTTCAGGGCTAGAGCTGGCTTGGTGACCGGGGAAGGAGCGGTCTTCCTGGGAACTGCCCTCCCTTCAATCCTGCTCTTGTGGTTGCCAGGCGAGAGGGGGCTGCTCACATCCCTCAGGTTGTTAGCTTCTGAGTGCTGCGGACAGTGAGTGGACCGCCTTGAGTGGACACGGTTTTGCACCTTTTGCAGACTGGCCCTGGGCAGCTGTCCAGTCCTCCGTGCACTTTAATTCTGCACTTGTGGGCCAAGGAGGTGCGGATACGGACTCTGGATTATTTTAAATAGGAGAGATTTTCATTTTAGAAAGATTACTCGCAGCAAAAGGATTTGATCAGAAAAGAAATGACCCATTGGATTGTTGCCAAAGTCCAGGAAAGTAAGGCCTGGACTGGAAACCCAGCGGTAAGAAAGAGGGTCAAGGCGGCGGTGGCTCACGCAATCCTAGCACCTTGGGAGGCAGGGGGCGAGATCTCGAGTCAGGAGTTGAATAACCAGCCTGAGCAAGAGGAGACCCCGTCTCTACTATAAATAGAAAGAAATTAATGGCCAACTAATATATATTAGAAAAAAGTAGCCGGGCATGGTGGCACATGCCTGTAGTCCGGGAGGCTGAGGCAGCAGGATCGCTTGAGCCCAGGAGTTGGAGGTTGCTGTGAGCTAGGCTGACACCACGGCACTCAATCTAGCCTGGAGGACAACAAAGTGAGAATCTGTCTAAAAAAAGAAAGAGGGTCAAATGTGAGATGTTTTCAAAAATGGAGTTGACAGATGCCGGCAACTAGCTGGATTCAGGGATGAGGAAGG